GAAAAAATAGGATGAATCATCCTAGCATTGATCTGTGTCATTAATTGTGTGTTATTTTACCTTTTTGTTGAATCACCATGATCTTTGTAATTCTTCATGTTTAATAAAGATCTCACACCACATACCTGTGTATTAGATATTTGTTGACACCCAATTTCAATGTGAAGCTTCATTGGTCTTTAAACCCCCCTCCTCAAAACTTGTTCTTCTAATACAATATTTTATACCATAATACTATAAAACTATTTATTTTCAAAAGGCATACAATTTCTGTATTTTGATGTTTTGAGCATTTTCACTGGATTTAAATTCACAAAGTTGGCAGGGAAGCAATGATATAGTTCTATTGATATTCTACATGTTCACTGGGATTTAATTTAGCGAATTTTACAAAATGAGAAGTGAATAATTAATTAATGTGTTTACAGTAGAAGTAATCCTCTTTGTATTGTTTGCAGTGCAATAGACCCATATGGCTTTGAACGACCAGAAGATTTTGACTACCAGACATATGAAGAATTCATGACACATTACCTAGCAGTGTTAGCTAGACGAGCGGGTAAATGGAGCTCCCTACTCTCAGCAAGAACCAAGGTTGAAAGATCTCGTAAAGGTATTATCTATTGTATAAGCTCTATCAAAATTCAAAAGTCTTGAAAACTTAACGCCAAGAAATAAGAAATTAAACAAAATTTTTAAGTTAAAAGTATTAATTTTGTTGCCTCTTCGAATTTTTGCAGTTAACCAGTCCGTTTATTATTACCATAGACTTACAGAATTAGTTTTAATATTGTTGAAATTTGTGCATATAGATTGTCTAATTTTAATTAGCCAATTCTCAAAAAATCAGATTTAAATTAAACTTATGGTGGAGGTTCTTTTGAATAAATTAGACTACAAACCACTGATGTATAATTAAATTAACATTCTGTAAATAATATAAATTTCAATACTATGTATCACATTTTTTTCATCTTGTGCATCTCAAATAGCACACCCATGTTAGTCACCAAGCTTCTTATTTCAAAGGCTAATCTAAAATTTATATATTCCTCCAATACTCTCAGCACACAGAAGTTCTTTCTAAGCATTCTTTGATTTAAATAAATATGAACTGTGCATTTTAATATTGTTTTGTTTATAATGCCTCTATTATCAAATTCTGGATATACTTTGTTTTTGTCAGCTTTTCTGTCATCGTTTGGACATGTGCTGTTATTATGAGTGATGCTATAGAGAAAGGACTGGAAAAGCTGTTTAGACAGGTTTCTGTTAGTCCAGGGTTTGATTTATGCAAGATTTACAGTTACATTCATGTCCTATTTGATTCATCTGTCAGTCACTGTTATATCCTGTGTTCTGTTGTTCTTGTTTTCAAGTGAAGAGATATTGTCGGAAAGGCATTCCTGGTGAGCATCGTGGTATGGTATGGATGCATATCAGTGGAGCACAGAAACGAATGGAAGATAATCCAGGGTTGTACGAAAAACTTATGGCAGGACCATTTGACCAAAGGCTGCTTGAAACAATCAATACAGGTACCGTACTCGTCATCACTTTTCCTTCTACAGACAGTACTCCTAATCTGGGATAGTCTATCCTACGAGGGTTCTAAAATCACATTCTGCTCTCATAACCAACATCAAAATATTATTATAATATTGACTTCAAAATGCATGTACAAGCAACAAGAAGCCATAGGCTAACTCTAAATGTAAATATCAAACAATGGAAAATTATTATAGTGGCAAAATAGTTTCATTTCCACTCAAAATGTATCGTGATGTTATCTTGACAATCATTGTTCAATAACAGATGCCTATTTGTTATTCATATATTCAGTAAATGGCAAGATTTTGTAGCTTCACAGATTGGACTCGTAAGGGATATGTAAATGACCCTTTTAGAGTGAAAAATAATTTTTTTTTTGCCAATGATGGATTATAACATGTGATTTGTGTTTGCAGATATCCACAGAACATTTCCAGAGAATATCTACTTTAAGGAGGGAGCAGAAGAAGGCAAGAGAAAACCACTGTATAATGTACTTGTAGCATATGGACATCATAACTCTGGAGTTGGATATTGTCAGGGTCTAAATTTCATCACTGGTCTACTTCTACTTGTTGTAAAAGATGAGGAAATGACATTCTTTTTACTAGATATATTGCTTGACAAACTGCTACCAGGTACAGTATAGCCATCCAACAAATGATGGGGAAAGAAAATATTTTTTCTTTTACTTAAAAAACATGGCAGTTTGAACCATATTATGGCACATCTCTTGTGGAACCCGTCAATTAGCAAATACAATGTATGCTGTCTGAACCAAGTCACTTCGCAGCACTTGTGTAGCTTTTATTTCAATTATACGTTGCAAAAATTAAAGGCAATATGTTCTAGATACCAGAAACAGAGTAGAATTATAGAGTGTTCTTATAATTTGTTCAACTCAAAAGTTGTCCACTTGTGGGAAAAATGATTTGAAAATCGAGCACTTCTGCCATTCTGGAAGTCTAATTCTAATCCATCTCATATTTAAGTGTGCTTTAATCAACACAAGTTTTGTTCAGATATCTCATAATTCATATCAGATTAATACTAAATTATGACAAACAGTTAAATTATTATGAAGAGATAAAATCCTATATGTAAGCACTTACATGTACATTGCTGTTTGAGATAAGGTTTGAAATTTGATTTGGGTTTCAGATTACTACACTCAAGACATGATAGGCTTAAAAACAGATCAAGAGGTTTTAGGGGAACTAGTTCGGATTAAATTACCTAATTTACATGCTCATGTTGAAGCAGAAGGTGTGCCATGGTCTCTACCAACAACAAAATGGTTTATATGCTTATACCTTGAAGTCTTGCCATTAGAAGTAAGTATTTTCTTTCTCATACTGGTGAAGCTAGCAATGATTGTCATTGTTCCAGCATTCTTGGAGGCCAGTGCCCTCTGTTGACAGGTTATGAATGAAATTATTCTGTGACAATATAGGATCAAAGAAATTACTGTAAATGATGTGATTCTGTGACACAGCAGGGTGAAAGGCAGCGATGTGAAAAGTAAATCTGCAAAATACCAGTGTATAGACATCTTTTCACCAGTGTAAGTCACTGAAGATCTTCATCACTACTCTGATTATTTATTTATTTTACTGCAGTTCTGTGTTTCTTTCATTTAAATTTTCTTCTTGGTGTCACTTGCGACAATTCTTACAAATGTTTAGACCACTGACATATTTTCTGATTTCCTTCTACAGACAGTACTCCGAATCTGGGATAGTCTATTTTACGAGGGTTCTAAAATCATATTCCGTGTAGCTCTCACAATGCTCAACCAGCATCAAAATATTATACTGACTTCCAAAAGCTTTCCTAATGTTGTGGAAGCATTCAAGAGAATGACCACTGACAGTAGCAATGTAGACTGTCATATATTTATGCAGGTATTTAAATTACTTCACAATATGCACTCAGTACCTTGTCTAAGTAGATGAACCTTTAACAGAACAGTCACATTTGTCATGTTCTGACTTGGTGTAATTATACCAGACATCAATATCTACTTCTGCCATTCTTTGTAGCATGCACCCAATAATACAAACTTGTTTATCTATAAATTACTCACAAATTTGTTTTCTTTTTATTCACAGAATGTTTTTTCAGTCCCAGGATCACTGTCCATGTCAATGATTAAAAAGTTAAGAGCAGAGTTCCGTGCAAAATGTGTATGACAAAATGCTTCACGCCAGGTTTATGTTCTGCCAGTTGTTTTAGTTTCGTCTGATGAATAACCAGTGCTTGCTGCATTACTATGTACTGTAAAATATTTGGATTAATTTATAATAATCTCAAATTTAAGTCAATTTTTAGTTTTATTGATTTAATCTGGTACTTTGTTTCTTTATTATTATGGTTTCACATAGAAGAAGAAATTGTATAAGGGTCCTGTGTTCATATGTTTTATCCATACAGTCTCCTGGTGTTCAAACATGTGTTCAAACTGGGTAATCATGCATATGTAAAGTCTAAAGCAATGATACCCATCTGTTGCTTTTTGTGGACGTGCACAATTTGTATACATTTATGTAACATTTTAAAACCATTCCTAAGTGTTTGTGTATGCATGTGTCTCTGTGTGTGTATGCACGTGTGTGTGTGTGTGTGTGTGTGTGTGTGTGTGTGTGTGTGTGTGTGTGTAATGATGTTATGCAGATATACCATTATTGGTCCCCCAATTGGTCATTTAGTCCATCATTGGGATTGTGTCATTTAGTCCATCATTGGGATTGTGTCATTTAGTCCATCATTGGGATTGTGTCATTTAGTCCATCATTGGGATTGTGTCATTTAGTTCATCATTGGGATTGCGTCATTTGGTCCATCATTGGGATTGCATCATTTGGTCCATCATTGGGATTGTGTCATTTAGTTCATCATTGGTATTGCGTCATTTGGTCCATCATTGGGATTGTCTCATTTGGTCCATCATTGGTATTGTGTCATTTGGTCCATCATTGTGATTGTGTCATTTGGTCCATCATTGTGATTGTGTCATTTGGTCCATCATTTGGATTGTGTCATTTGGTCCATCATTGGCATTGTGTTATTTGGACCCTTTTTGGAATTGTGTCATTTGGTCCATCATTGGGATTGTGTCATTTGGTCCATCATTGGCATTGTGTTATTTGGACCCTTATTGGGATTATGTTCATTTGGTCCATCATTGGGATTGTGTTATTTGGACCCTTTTTGGAATCGTGTCATTTGGTCCATCATTGGGATTGCGTCATTTAG